TAATGTTAGTTTACAAATAAAATTAAATTAAAATTAGCATTATTTGCTTTCAAAAAGGCTACCTGAAAAATAGCCCGATTTAGTGGGATTTCCATGACTGTGACTGCCTAGGGGATTTTCGGATTTTCCCCTAAAATATGCAGTTGTGTCCTTCGCTTTTCCGCTGCGGCTGCCTGATTGTCAAGTGACGGACAGCCGTTGATGTGTTGATGTGGGCAATCCCTTCACCACTTAGGCCGCGCGCACACTACGAGCTGAAAGCGGAGCTGAGATAAGCGAGCTGATAATTTCAGTGCAAATTTCTAAGCTCAGCTCCGCTTTCAGTGTGCGCGCTCTCATACAAGTAGTGTGTTTGTTTCAGAGAGCTGATAAGCCGTCAGCCGTCAGCTCCGCTTTCAGCTCGTAGTGTGCGCGCGGCCTTACATCCGCATCACCCAACGCCCATCAGGGCCAAAGCGTTTTCTGAATGCTTAATTACAAAATTCGCTCATGTTTGGGCGCCGACTTTCGGGGGCCGCCTTAACTTGGCAAATATTTGAGAGAGGCGCCAGCAAAAGCGTTGACACTCTGTGCCCTGTTGACTCTTGTGCCACCCACACACAGCATACACACTCTATACAGGCAGTGCACATTCAGCCAACACACTCCACAAACAGACACACATTTTACAAACTTATAAAGCGAGCGTGAAATCAATGAGCAAATACCAAGGGAGACAATGCCAAACCAGGAGAGAACAAATGAAATCATTTATCACAGGGAAAAATTTAAATTTAATCATGAAATTACATTTTGTAATATATTTTATACATCCGAAAATTTAAAGGAAAATTGTTTCAACATTTAAATACATTTAAAACTAAAATTTAGCTAAGTTTTATAAAGTTTTATTAAAAAGTTTCTTCCAGAAAGCTGGCAGTGGAAATTTGAGAAATAAATAAAATAGTTAAGAAACTAATATTCTAATTAATAATTTCTATAAATAAAGTATATAAAGAATTGTAGCTCCGAAAACCCTAAAAATTTCTGTCTGTGCTGCCAAACTTTTATGGCATTAAGTGGCAGCGGCCAAGAAGCACTGGAAATCCAAGCATTCCGTCATAAAGAACAAGACGTAAAAATATGAAACAAATAAACAAGGTGAAGATGTGGCAGTACAGAAAGCTTTTAAGAGCCGTTGTTGGGATGGAGAAATGTGGTTGGGGGGAAATTGGGAAAAGTACTGCCCCGGGCAACCGATAAGCATATGTGTCAAAATTGAAGACATTTCCTAATGCCCTTCAATCTTATTCGCATCTCCAGTGTGTGTTGCCTGGAGACCCAAATCAATGAGCGGCAGCAACTGTCCAGCTGTCCATCAAAGTTTCGACAAATTACCTGGACTAATTGAATGGAGTTAGTTGTATTACATTACCCCTAGATCTTGGCCTTGTAGAGGGAGCTGGGAAAGAGAAGACCTCCCCTCATCAACGCAATGAAACCGAGCAGAATTGTGGCACGAAAAGTTTTGAGAAGCGCCAAAAACGAGCTCAACGCCAAATGTCAAGGAAACAAACAAACTGAAAATGCCGTAAAAATAATACCAAAGTGTAGGGGCAACAAGCCACAGCAATTAGGCAACCGGAGAAGCCAAAAGCCAAGAATTTCCACATGCAGAGACCCAAGTGAAAATTGCCGAGAGTACAGAGGAAGTGGCAAGTGGAAAATTGTGAATTAGAAAATCCCTCTTGGATCTAGCAGAAAAACCATTTAGCTTTAGTTTTTCTGGCCTTTTTTTTTTGTTACCAGCTCTTGTTCTGGTCTAAACCGCAAGTCATATTCGATTTTATTTTTGATTGTGTTTTGATGGCACTGGGGCAGTCCTGTTGAAGTATGCACACAAAAAACAGGGAAATTTTTCATTCCATACTGTTGTTTATGGCTGTACGAGATTTTGATTGCCTGTCTCGGAATATTGGCCATACGCAGCTCTTGTGCTCGTGACAAGTGTTCAATTATAAGCGCTTAGTCGTGCTCCCAACGTCAGCGTCCTTGGTGATGGCTTCCGGTTCTTGTTATTGCGGCTTCCTCTGGTGCCGCCATTTTTTCTCTTTCTACACTGTTTTTTTTGTGGCTGGTTTTTTGGAGAATATCTTGGGGCAATACAAAGTCTGGTTAGTCGAGTTCAAAATTTGTTTTTATTTTTTCTTTTAATATTCTCATTTTTTTTGAAGCAGAGAAATTTCCCCGCTAAGTAGAAACTCAAATGTTTGATACGAGTGCGTGCTTGTGTGTGCTGTTGAGCTTCAAAACCGGATTTCCGCCTCCTGTAAAAACCTCAACTTAAAGCCAACCCGGTCAACAGCACGTGGCAGTTGTTACCTTCTGGCATAATTTTCCACTCCCATCCCCAGCGATTTGCTGGGTGGAAAATGCTGAAAATGTGTGCCGGAGCTTTTCGTTTCATAAATTTACAACAGTGGATCCCAACCGCACTGGGCCGAAGGGCTCTCCCGGGCTCGCCAGAAACATTTCCGGGCAGCGAAATGAGCCAGTACACAAACACACACACTCACAGAGGAAAGCCACCAAAAATGGGGGTCAGATACTACAGTGCGGCACATACTGTATGCTCATTATATGGCCCAAAGCCAAAAGTAAAGCGCAGGATTGTGTGCACTAGTTGGCCCAGTTTGGCTCATGTGCTCTGAGCTGTCCCGTCCTGTCCTGGCTCGAGGACATGCCCAAGATGTAATTGTACTTGGCCTCAAAAGTGGCTTGAACTGCGGCTCATTGGGTGCATAAAAATGGCAAGAGAACTGACTTGTGGTCCCTGGGACCTTTTCCTGCACAGAGAAAAAGTAGAGGAACATGGATTAAAGGCAATGTATATCTTATTTTATATTAATTAAACTTCTTGTAAACATTTCTTATAAATATCTAATATATTCTTGAGCTATTTACTTATTATTTTCTTTATCTACAAGACCTCCTTTGTAACCCTCAACCTTTGTAACCCTCAATCCGATTGTACTTTAAATAAATTACCACCGTTTCAGTTGGCAGATAATCAGACATCGAGCCATTACAACACCATGTTTGGCTAATGGCCAGACCACAATCAAACTTCAATTTGTATGGACAATTGCTAGCAGCTGACGACTGTCAAAAGGGCGTGGCTCAGTGTAATTAAAATAGGGCAAGTGTGGGGAAGTAAGAACGTGGCAATGGGGAGTGCCGAGCTGATTATGTGAAACCATTATGCGGCTGTGAGGGGGTGGCATTAATAATGCAACAGGCAGAGTGGTCGCGATGGCTTCATTAGATCGCTTAAATGGTGGTTTTGTGTGCGTTTGTGTGTCTGGTGTTGTCTATTAAGCGGCAAGTGTTGTTCCTTGTCTGCGGTCGAAGGATATGCTGTCATTGGCAGGCACTTGAGATGCGCAGCCCAGCAAACTACCCCTAAATATACATATATATATATGTATGTATATAGCCACCCCTCTTTGAGATATTCCGCTGTTCCTGTCATCGTCAACAAGTCCTGGCACTTACGTGACCGTCCGCAACTTTAATGGCAGTCTGTCGGCTGGTCAGCAGGCACTTGACATTGGCAGTACTCAGACATAGGGTGAAAAATGCGACTATAAAATAATAGAGAATACGTTTTATAGTAAAAATATACTTCTCTTAAGAGAACCTATAAGTTAAAGATATTATTCATTTTTTTTTCTATTTAAATGTTTACTAAAATAAACATCTCACCACGCAACAAGTTCTTTATTTGATTTCTTGCAGTGTTTAGGAAAACTTCCGTAATGGCCGGCATACGGTGCGTATTAGTTACATTAGTTGAAGGCCAAATGAGACAGTGGGACACATTTGTTTATTGCTTTATTTCTGCGTGTTTGCATTGTAATTTTGGTGTATATTCGAGGCGAATAACGCCACAAAGTCCAATTCAATTATGAGGCCCCAGCACACATGCTGGAATTAGCCAAATATTTGAGCTCTACCGCCTTAAAGATTTTCCGTCTTTAAAAGGCAAAATTACATTTGGTTGGCGCTAATTAAATATGCATGACAAGGATTAATTATCAATTTCATGGTCAAATATATACCAGTTACCAGCACCCAAAGCCACTCTAAAACTTTTGGCAATGCCTTCCAAGTTTTTGGTGAGTCAGCATTAGCAGCGTAGCCGGACTAAGCCAAGTCAAACGGCATAAGTCCTGGTCTGCCGAAAAATCTCCGGCCCAGAAGGACTTAATCACTGTAATGGAAGTTGGGCCAGGCCAGAGCCAGCAGCAGCAGCAGCTTACAAAACCGAAAAACAAGATTTTTTGCTTGAAATCACAAACAAAATAGGACACAAATATATGAATGGCCAAAAGCTGAAATTGTATTATCACTCCTCATGGCTGACAAAACATTTTGGCCCAATGCCCGGCATCAGATTTATTGCCGGATAAACGTCCGACACTCCAGTAACTTGTCACTTGGGCAAGACAGTGAGAAAGTAACTTTTAATTAAATGCGAAACTGGCAAGGCTGCAACTGCCGCTGAAAGTTCAACTGCGGTTGCAGCTTGGCTTTTCCAGGACTTTCCATATTTCCTCATTCGTCTAATGGAATTACGTCAACGGAATGCGTGTGGGACTTTAGCCGAGTGGCCATGTGTCCTTTTCCAGCAGGCTGTTGCAGCAATTTGCGGCCAAAAACCGATGAAAGCATCTCGTTATGTCGCTTGCACACGGGTCGTATGCGTAATATTGATTACAAGTCAGTTGGGGACTTTTGCCTGTCAGCCAGGCTTGTGTTTGTGCTTTCTTCAAATGGTCTTGACATTTCCTTGCACACATTTTCCTGTTTTCATGCAAAAATTCAACTTTGAACTGCATTCCTCAGCCATTTGCTGTGGCATTTTTGGAATTTCAGTTGCCAAAAATTGAGCTAAAATTACATTTGTCTCCGTGAAATTATTTTTGATTCGGCTAACGCTTTTGTTTATTTCGTTGCAGGTCAAATTTCACCCGCAGTACGCAGTTTGCATATTTAAATATTGAAATTTCGGAGAGGAAATTTTAATGAGACGACTGTGGAAAACCGAAGGCGAGGAGCACCAGTGAGTGGGCAGGGCAGCAGCAGCGCGGAACCGCAGGAGTCAGTGGAGCTGCTGTCAATCAAACGGAGTCGCTGGCCAGGACTCCAACCAACCGAAAATCCAACCATCTGACCGGCTCATCATTGACACCATGGTCACGAACATGTCGCAGCCGCATTATTGCGGCACTGGCATCGATGATTTTCACACAAAGTGAGTACGGATAAGGGACAGGGGAATGGGTAGGGGAACGGGCCAGGGCACGGGACAGTGGCTCTGTGTCTCGTGGGGATGCCTGCATATTAATTACATTTTTAAATGTAATTTCCATAATAATTTCTGCCTGGCGGCCGAGGCGTGCATAACGAAGTCATGTGTGTAATTGCCTCCGGCGCAAGGAGCTAATTTAAGGATGCTCGAGCCGCATTGAGATTAATAATTTTTAAATTGAGAGCAAAGTTAAAAGGTTGCTAAAGGTAATCAAGATGTTAAAAGACTCTTTTAAGAAACTTTGAAGTACCTTTTTTATAGTAAATAATTTATATATAAACCTTTTCGAAACCCTCCTTCTCCCACAGCTACAAATACTTCCATGGCTACTTCTCGCTTATTGTCTGCATCCTGGGCACTATCGCAAATACCCTAAATATTATTGTGCTAACCCGAAGGGAGATGCGATCCCCAACGAATGCCATACTCACGGGTCTGGCGGTGGCCGATCTGGCTGTGATGCTGGAATATATTCCCTATACGGTCCACGATTATATACTCAGTGCCCGGCTGCCGCGGGAGGAGCAGCTGAGCTACAGCTGGGCCTGCTTCATCAAGTTCCACTCGGTGTTCCCCCAGGTGCTGCACACCATCTCTATTTGGCTCACCGTAACGCTGGCCGTGTGGCGTTACATAGCGGTGAGTTATCCCCAACGGAATCGGATCTGGTGTGGCATGAGAACGACGCTGATCACCATTGCCACGGCCTATGTGGTGTGTGTTCTGGTAGTGTCACCGTGGCTGTATCTGGTCTCAGCCATAGCCAAGTTCCTGGAGACGCTGGATGCGAGTGGCAAGACCATAGCTTCGGTGCCGTTGAGTCAGTATATACTGGACTACAATCGGGAGCAGGAGGAGGATGTAACCATGCAGGTCATGTCCAGCACTACGCCAGATATATCCTGGGCGATGCCGAGTGGTTCGGCCAATGGAACGGCCGTCAGTGTGCTGACCCTGACCACAGTGGTGCCTCTCACCAGCTGGACACCAGGGACAACTCCGGCGATGATGGGTGAACGAAACGTGACGGTCTACAAGCTATATCACAGTGCCTTGGCCCTGCACGATCGACAGTTCAGGAACGCCACCTTCCTCATCTACAGTGTCCTGATCAAGCTGATACCCTGCTTTGCCCTGACCGTGCTCTCGGTGCGGTTAATCGGCGCTTTGTTGGAGGCCAAGCGGAGGAGGAAGATCCTTGCGTGCCATGCGGCCAACGACATGCAGCCGATAGTCAACGGGAAGGTGGTGGTGACGCCCACTCAGCCCAAGAGCTGCAAGTTGTTGGAGAAGGAGAAGCAGACGGATCGAACGACCAGGATGCTCCTGGCGGTGCTGCTGCTCTTCCTAATCACCGAGTTCCCGCAGGGGATTATGGGCCTGCTGAATGCTCTCCTCGGCGATGCCTTCTTCCTGCAGTGTTACCTAAAGCTGAGTGAGTATTCCATTTACTCGTCCTCCTCATCTAGAAAAACCCCCCTAATTGCTTTATTGGCTATGATAATTGACTGAATTTATGGCTAGTATTTTCGTGATGGGCCAACTGGCAATCAATCATACGCACCGCTGACTCCCATAATTGCACCACAAATTCGTGGCTTCCATAGGGCCACGTCCTTGGCCTTGACTTGGTCTTGTTGTACATACTTTTTGTTTGCTTGGGACACTGCGAAAAAGTAATTGCAAATAAAGAGACATTTCCAATCAGAAATTAATGAAAATTTTTCATAATTTATAAATAATTTTATATTTATGATCACAAGTGTACCCAAGCTTCGGCATCCCGAAGTTACGTTTCTTGCTTGTTTATTTTATTTTAGTTACTAAATATAACATTTTTCAACTTAAATTTCCAACCAAAATCCTCTTTAACCTTGAACTTTGAGTAAAACCAACGCACAACAGATGGCGTGCTTGTAGTGTGACGGTGACTCCGTACTTATTGCATTTCAATGTCCCACTGCAGGTGACCTAATGGACATCTTGGCACTTATTAATTCGAGCATCAATTTCATCCTTTACTGCTCGATGAGTCGCCAGTTCCGTAGCACGTTCGCCCTACTCTTCCGGCCGCGCTGGCTGGACAAGTGGCTGCCGCTCTCTCAGCATGACGGCGAAGGACGCGGCGGGGGGAGTGGGTATGGCTATGGCTACGGCGGCGGTGGTGGCTATGGAAGGCAGCGATTACTACACACGGACGCCGCCAGCAAGAGCATGGCCATCGATCTCGGCCTGACGACGCAAGTGACGAATGTGTAGCACGAGAGCAGCGGCCGGGCAGCGGTGTCAACCGCAGCGGCGGCATCATCCACAGCTGCAGCAGGAGCAGCAACATCACTAGCAGCAGCTTCTGCAGCAGCAGCAGCATCCACAGCAGCAGCTGCAGCAACATCAACGACAGCAGCGACTGAAATTGATGGATGTGCTGGCGCCACAAACGACATCAGCCTGGTGGAAGTGCTGCACGCGCAGCCCGGCCAAAAAAGAGGAGAGGTTTCAGGTAGGGATGGTGGGGATATATAAACTATATATATATTTTTTTAATGAATTTTATAGTATTCATTTTATATATATTATTATACAAAATGTAGGCTTGCAATAATAATTGTTCTTTAAAGTTCTCTTTAGTTTCGTTAAAATATATTAAAAAACAAGAAAACTATATATTATATTCTCTAGTTTAATATACATACCAATATATATATCACTATGCCTTTCTATATTTTAATTTCTATAGTTGCCAGCCAGAATCGTAGAAGTCGCAGTGGCAGTGGCAAGTGCATTTGGCCCACCACGGAGTGGCTAAGAAAACTGCGGCACCAAAAGCCACACAAGGAGGCCGATGCCTGTACTGATACCGATCTAGAGTTGGGCAGGACTACTATCAACAGACGCAGCAGTGTCCTGTTGATGGTCCTGCTCAGCAGTTCCGATGAGGTCAAAGCCAAGGCCGTTCTGGTCAGTGACCAGCATCAGCAGTCTAGCACACAGCAGGAGGTGAAGCTGGACGAGGACGTGGAGGATGCCATCGATGCTCTCTGGCTGTGAGATGTCCCAACCCTCTAGCACTTAACTAACCCCTAAAAACAAATACAAAAACAAGAAACAATTCCCTGTAAATGAAATCCCCACTAATAGCTAACTACTGTGTACAGACCAATTAATTAATCAAACAAATTGTTTATGGCTGCTTCCTATTTATACATAAATATTTTCCCGCCAGCGTTGCAGTTGTGGATTGTGAGCCCCTCTTCGCTTCGGCTTCGCTCTGCTGGAAAATCAAATGGAAATTCTGCGATTTCTTCCGGGGAGCAGCTTTGAACACTTTGTGACGACACCTACACACACACATTTGATAAGTGATATTTACTTGACTAAGTTTTCCCGGATAAATAGTTGTGTAAGTTTAAGTGCAAAGCGCATCCTTCAGAAACCAAAAAGAAACGAAATTAGCTATAGTCCAACTATGATATAAGGTGTATTTATAAAGCGAACGAGTCGGTAGAATAAGAAGAGATTTAATTTCTTTTTCTATTGAAAATATATGTTATTTGATGGTATGAATGTATTTATGGTTTTTTATGGATTAAAAAGAGGTAAGTACTGCAACAAACATCATTACCTTTCTTTGTTATAATTATGGTAAATTCTTTGAGGGAATATTAGTTTTTATATTCTTTTCACTTCGAAATATATTTTATATTAATCTTATTAAAATTCCCAAGTTTTATTTATTAAAGTTTTAATGTTCTTAATCATTAATAAAAACCAGCTAATTGTCTTGCATTTTGCTGCCTTGAATCGTCATTTAATTTGACGCTGTAAACGAAATCCCATTGGCGTTGAATTTAATTTTCGAGCCATTTACTGCTAGCAAAAACCCTGTGATTGGCACTTAAATATCAGGCACTCGACGTTCTTTGGTCCTCTGGCCCTTTTCGGTCCTTTTCACAATAAGGACGTGGAAAATAAACGGACAAATGACAGTAAAAAGTGACTAAAAAGCAAAATGGCAGCAATGGCAGCGTCAAGAGCTGCGTTGATTAATTGTAATTTTAATCAAGGGGCCGAAGCGAATTTGTCAGCGACATTCGAGAGAGAAAGGGATTGTGGAGGCCAAACTGATGACCCAATTCGTAGTTGTTAATGGCCGGCTGTTTCATGGCTATGATGTATGACTTAGGATTGCCAAAGGGAACATCATCATTACCCGGAAGTGCGCCAAATCGATGGAGAATGTCAGTGTGCCTCGAAAATACAAAATGCTAAGTGTTCATCATTCATGCAACACAATGTCCCGCGGATCCTGCCATTCATTTTGATAAAGGACCTCCCAAATCAGGAGTGGGCGACGCAGAAGCGCACAGCCATTCCCCTCCATAATTTCTTTACATTAATTGAACTGAAATTGGGGTCCGAAAATACATAAATTTAAGATCTTAAAAAATGCGTCATTTTCGTTACAATTTAATTCAAAATTAACGCTCAAATGGATTGATTTGACAACGCTTTTACGTAATTTTTTTACCTGTTTTATCTGTTAATTCGAAGTGGTGGAAAAAATCAACATTTAATTGAGCGAGATGCCAACTCAATTATGTAAATGATGGAAAAGGTAAAACAGCAAAAATATCAAATGAAATTGGATAATTATTATGTCCACAAAAAATTACCTTTATTAAAACTGATTGAGTGCAACTGAAATGAAAGTGAATTACTTACAGATTATGATTTCATAAAGTTGCAAAGTCAATTAAAGAAAGTGGTTTACAGCTTACACCAGGGTTGGCCGCATTTGCTCGACCTTGTTTAGCCTCTTTCACTAATATTTTCCTTGGCCGAAATGCAATTAGAAACCAATTTATGGCTGCAATTCAATAAAACCAAAGCCTTCGGTATTTGCCTTAAATTACATTCAGTGGGCCATCTGTAAATCCCAAATTGTATTTACAATTTGCAGACGCACACACAGGAGAGTAGATGAAATGAAATAAACACAACAAGGCCCTGAATCAATAGAATCCATCTTTTTCCAAGGGACAGCCAGCTAAATGCCATTGAATGGGTATATGATATGGTTTCACTCTTACAAACACACAGAGTTGAGTTGAAACTGGCCAATTCCCTCTGTATTGGTAGGAGCACTGCCAGAAAGTGGAGGTACTTTAACACACTTAACAGGTTCCTTTTTAGAATTTTATAAGAATTAAACCATCTTAAATTTTATTTTATATTTTATTACCATTAAATTAGTATCCCTATAATAAAAAAGCATTTTTGAATAAAGATTTTTCCCTCTGTACAGCAAATGCAACTAAACTCGATTTGCAGCTCTTTTCAGAATGCCAAGAGCAAGCGGATGTGGAGTGCCGGATACGACGAAGGACGTTGAGAGGATGGTTTAAGCGATATAAACGAAAAACTAATCAAAGGGGTTGGGTACAAAATTCAGTATCCGTTGGGTCAAAGGACAAGCAGGGTGGACTGACTGTCCATCACACACTGACCACTGACGAGTTTGCGGCTTTTGGCAAAACAGCAAAACTTTACCCTGAATTTAGGTCATTTTGGGGTCACTTTGTTGTTACTTGAACTTGTTGAATACTTTAAAATAATAAATATAAATCAGCAGTGAGAAAGTTTTCCTTGCATTTGAATGTTTAACTAGGGCAACGAGGAATTAAGGGCACCAAGACCAAATTACTCAACTAGTTTCTATAAATATTTGTGGAGATAACCTCCAGGAAACTTCTAAAATAAATTCAAAGTAATTATTTCTGACTTTTGAAAAGCTTTTAAATGCCAAGTATAAATGAAAAATACTCACTTCTTTGCATAAAGAAATATTTAATGATAAAATAACATCATTTTCCCTTTATATATACTTGCCAGAAATCTCGTATAATTTATGCTCAGACTTAAATTAAATCAAAATATTTTGCCTTAACTCGTTGTAAAATTGAAAAAACTATAATTAAACTCTAATTATACAACTTATCTTTAATGATTTTTGAAGCGTGTAAACTTTTCCAATAAATGAGCAACTCTCGACCAAAAACTAAACTCGTAGCTAATTATTAAACTACTAGGGCGGGCCCCTGGGGCAACATTTCATATTAAAAATCTCTCCCGAACGAAATATGTAAATATTCCACACCAATTTCCGCTAAATCATCATCAGCAGGAGCAGCAGCATTAATTATAAAACAAGCCGGGCCAGCCAGGGATTGCTGCCAGCAGGCAAATTTCAAATGCAATTGCTACAAATTTCATTGAATTAAGCGCACATCAAGGCCGGGGCCCAGTCCCTCAGTCCTTGGCTGTGAAAATTTTCGGCTGTTTAACAATTCCTAAAATGTACGCCAGTTGGCAGTGGCCAAGCAGAAAGGCCAGAAAAAAAATTAGCATAATTGCTGGGAGGGTCGGGCAACGTAAGGCAAAAAAAGGAAAATTCAAATGAAACGGCAGCAGCAGCAGCTTTTCCCATCGCCCCCTCTCTAATTATTCGGTAATTTATGCTCGCCCCAATGTGTGAACATTTTTGCCATGCAATTGCACGTCAAATTTTGATGGATTTCATTTCGAAAAGCTGTCCATCGCTGCCCACGTTCTGTGTTGTCTCATCATTGAGTTCGTTAATGTATAGTCCTGGCCAGCTTAGTGATTTGAGTGGGACTTTAGGGGTTTGAGAATATTAAGCGAGAGTTCCTTGTAACTTTATTTTTGGTCATTCTCTGTAAATATTCCTGGGGATTCCAAATAAGCATCTATTTTAACTGTTAGAACTTTAAAATATTTTTAGCCTTAAAAAGGGTGCTCGAAACTATATATTTTTACTAGATACATATGCCATACGTTCCCGGAAAACCCCAAATATTATATAGAAAGCTAGAACACGCTAACCGGAAATATTTCCCGCACGCTTTCCACATTTATGCGTGCTTGAAAGCCATTTCCATTACGCATACGCAACGTTGGCCACGGATATTTATGCCAAGTCGTTAGCTGAAAACCCATTGACACCTGCGGCTTTTGACGCCCCCTCATAATAATATATGCTTTCAGTATTTACAAGCTACATGTTTTTGTCACATGCCAGCGTCAGCAATATCCAGAAATTGAAAATATAAACTCGCAAATATCGCACTTGACGATGATTGATCGCGCTGAAACGCCAACAACTTGCATACATTTCCTTGATATTCATTTTAAACACTTAAACATTAATCAAATTTTGGGCAATGGCTTATTTAAATTGCTCACGCAACCTGTGTCTAATGCTCGCCCAATAAATGCGCAAAAAAAGCCCCCATCGCAATAGATTTCCCCGCTACTTGCCGTGGGTTCAGGGAGTAAAAACAAACAAATTCCAGTCATTTGTCAACAAAGTTTGATAAATGTTTTAATTATGGCCCACGCCTCAGTTGGAGGCCAATCCAAGGAATATTGAATAGGGCAAGTTTTCCGTTTTTGTTTTTGCGTTGTCAAGGTGGCGAAAGGGTCAGAAAATGAAATGAAAATGTTTTCCTTGGGAGATTAGAGGAAAAAACCCGAGTGACCAGCCTTTGAAGTGGTTCATTAGTTAAGTGAGTGAGACAGTTGTTATTATAGGTAGACCAGAAATCTCGATCTGATCGGAATTTTTGGCTAAATCGTCCAACCTGGAACGGGCACGTGGAGCGTTTGCGACTGATTTTGTTAAATTATTCAGCTTAAGTCGAAAAAACCGGCAGCTACGCGCCTTTGGCCACAGACAGCTACGCTACGTTACCGTTACAAAGATATATAGTACTGATTTATGCCGAATATTTTCGTATGGTTAGACATTTGCATTTGGCCTATGGAAATTGCGAAATATTTATTTGGCAAATCAGAGCCGAATCGAATGCTGCCAGACGAGTGCACGTGCCATTGGTAATTGATTGATTGTAAGCAAACACAAGGCAACAGCTGACAAGATAAGCAAACAGCAGAGAAAGTCAGCCAGCAGCCAGCATAATCCCGAAATTTGTTGTAACATTTTCAAATTCATTTCTGCCATTTCTGTCAATTTCTTCTAGCTTACTTTAAGGCTTTAAGGTGGAAATTTTGCTTAAAAACTTGGGTAAGACGAAAAAATATTACAAAGAATTTATAAGGAATGTCATCTAAATTTGAAAGTTATTAATAATAGCGTTAATGGCTTTTACAAAATATAAAGTTAGTTCTACAAACA